ATTTTCTCAATTTTTGATTGGTTAATTTAATTGTGGTGGCATTAATTGTGGCTTGTTATTACTCCACATTAGCCTCATCCATATATGGAAGGTAGGGAGTGTGGGAGTATGGTCCCTAGTAAATCAAAAATTCACGCATTCTTATTGGCGACACGTGATCCGTAACTTTTTTTTCGCCATGGCTAGGGTACTTTGATACCCTACCCTTAAGAGATTGTGACATGTGATCGTTATCTTATCAAAAACATCACCTACGTATTTATTAACAAAAATATTTTTCTTTTCATCGCTATTATTAAGACAAGTTGAAATCAGATTACTTCTGGCGACCCACAACATCTGACACCCGTATGGCAGAGCGAGATTACTTTACTATCTAGTTAATTCCTGCGGTTGTTGTTTAGAGCAAGGCGTAGGCTACCCTCTTTGACCCTTTGTTCATTCGCTGAACTTACCTCATTGTAGATCACGCCTCCGTTCTTGTCTCTAGTATATTGGATGTAATACTTCCTACACCTGCAGAGCGAAACTTAACGCTTGCATTATGTAACTCTCTGGCTGATGCTTGGTAGGAGAGTTGCGGAGGTACCCTCTTTGACTCATTGTCTCGAACAATCCTCATGGTAGATCACTCCTCCCGCTCTTTACCAGAAGCGTTACATCAAGCCAGTATCTTGTGTCTGTTTGTCTTGCATCTTTCTTTTGTCAATGCTAACTATAATTCATTAAGTACCTTAGATGAATTTTGAAAATCATATTAGAAATTATTTTCAGTTGAACGATTGCTTAAAATGGAATGTATTAGAAGTCCTACGCTACATATCAGATAACGTTAACTTTACGAGTGAAAATTTAAACGATATTCAAAACTCTTTAGAGGAACAGCTAGAAATTTTATCAAATCATAAAAGTCTTCGGCTGGCAGCAAAAAATAAGGCTATCAAGCTTCTTGAAAACCTGCCAAGAACACTAAAACGAAAAATTTCCTTGAAAATCAGGACCTAAAATTTGCCGAGGTTAGTAATACCTATCTATTGTGTGTACTATATGATTAAAGATTAATTTTTTATATTATCATAGAATCGATATAAAATAAATGTTGAATTAAGTGTCGTTACTGATAAAACGGTCATGACAGGAAAGACTACCGAAAAATTTACAAGAGTAAGTATTAATTATTTAATAAATTCCTGGAAAATAAACCAATCGATGATTTTATTGAGATCTCTTGATATACTCCGGTCTTTGAATAACGATCATGACATCAGGGCGCTGAAATCAAGATTCCATTAAAAAACACAGACTACTGTTAATAATGAACGAGAAGAAAACAAACAGGAAGAAAGTAAACAGGAAGAAAATAAACCGGAAGAAAATAAACAGGAAGAAAATGAAGGCGGAGATGTAATTGTCGATGAAAGTAGTGTTAGTAAAATTCGTCTCTGGTAATGCAAACGCAAATTCATCCTCTCTTCTGTTTACACGGTCAGAAGCGATCAAAACCGTGCCCGTGGTTACAGTATTCTAATCATATTAAGACCAGTACTCAACTGCGGCAGAAAAAAACAAGGGTGTGCTCACATACCCAAAGTGACGGGTCATGTAACTTCCGAAGTGATCACTGACTCCGGAAAATCTGGCCTGTCAAACATCTCCACGCAATTATCTTTCATTCTGAGCATTTCAAAATTTGTTTTTAACCTTTTATTATTAAGATCGTGTTTTTTACAATGTAATTTTTACACAGAAAAAAGTGTTTTCATGATATAATTTGTTTTGTTTCGAACCAAAATTAGTAATTAACACATAATACATGGGATAAAGTTTTGGTTTCGTCGCTCCTTGACTTTAAGATGCAAGGGCAGTATAACGAAATTGTGTGCATCGATTGATTTTTTCTGCGTTTTACTTCCACATAATTCGAGACTTTAATACAAAATGTACACTTATGAAGGACAACGTAAATCGAATCAAGTGAGAAGCGAATAAATGATCGAAAATGGTTTTCATAAAAATTTACCCAACTATTGACGCGTGGTATGAGCGTAATGACATTAGATTCTAGGTTTGTCCATTGAGTAGTTCTATCATTGGAATTTTTATTATAATTAGCAGAAACAATCAATTATTAATTGATCTTGACAAATGAAGTGTTTTTTCATGATAATAATTTGCCTATAGTAAAATGTATATTAACGTGAACAGTAAGTAGTAAGATTAATCATTAATTCTTACTGCATGAAATTAAATACATTTAAATAAAAATGACAACCCTGATTATTTTTCTCTAGGAAATAAATATCATCATTAAGGGAATTGAATGTTTTCATGATTAACTTTAGAATCTGCTGTATATATATAGATATATATAATTTATTCTCTTTTTGATTCCTTTAGCATCTATTATTATTACTATCATATTCATCATATACACAACAAGAATAAAAAAGTAATAATAAAGAGAAATAGGAGCGCAAAAAAAAAGGTCCAAAAATGTCGAGAAATAAATTGAACATCTACCAACAATAATAAAAATAACCAAAACAGTGAAAAATAGTAACAAACGACGATGAACGATGATAATAAACGCGCAAAAAAATAGCATCATTATCACATTGTCGTCATTACTAACAACTAATCTTCCCATTCTTCGCCACATACACCCATCTGATAAGAATCATCACCGTTATCATCATTGCCACCTTTGGCTTTATCAACATCATCCCCATTTTGTGTTCCAGACCCTTCCACTCGTCGTACAAAGCATACTCGAGCCACTTGATCCTTTGAGAACGGTAACGAATACTTTAGTATTCCGCGAACAGTCAATTGGAATCCTTGACGTAGTAAATGAGACCTATAACATATAATTAGGATCCAGATTAATTACTCTTGTGAATTTTACGGATTGAATGCATCAATTATTTATTACTTACCATTTATCTTGTGCATCCTGATCACCTTCACCCGGGTTCTTTAAGGTGACTTGGGCGGTAGCTACTTGCACCACACCAGTACGATTAGAGCTTGCTTGGAATACCAGAGGTTCATCAAAATCGAATATTTGTCCTAGGTACTCGTTTGGTGCCGCATCAGTTAATGACTGAGATGATGTAAAAGTTTTCGATAAAATGACTTTATTTTTTCTTTTTGTTCTACTATTACTTCTTTTACTACTCGTGAAGTTCTCAATAGAACTGTTAATGTCATTGTTTGATGTAGAAGTAATAGTAGAAAGATGACTACTATCTATACTTATGAGATTATCATCGTCGTCATCGTCACCATTACCTTCGCCATCGTCACCATCATCAGGATGCTGCTCTGGAAATCCACCAACTCGATAAGGCGCCGCAAAAACTTTAAGATTCGCATTCATAATTTTCACATCCCATATATCGAGATTCCGTGCCTTCACATGCATATCGAACATTATTTCCTTGTCTGCCGCAAGGACATTGGCAATATCGGTGATTGCAACCTCAGTCAGCGGTTGCGATGAAGCAAAGTATATTAGATAACAGAAGGCGACGATCGAAAATATTAGAAAGGTTGTTAAAGAGAAAGTTGTCGATGCGCAACAAGTCCTAATCAATCAAGTATTTATAAAGTCAATTATTTATAAGCATATTTCAGACGGAGAAAAAGGACAAACCTTCTCTGATCTTCGTAAGGTGGCCTCCTCCACTTAGCAAACAACGGTAACCGTTCATCATCTCCCACACCATACCAATTATGATAAAACGGATCATTATGATAATAACCAGTTGTCCCGTAATTCGGGTGTCCTTTCGAATACCGCGACATATCGGGTAACGAAGCACGCATTACACCAGTCGGTTTATGCGGTGCAGAAAGTAGGTTATTTGATGATGAACCTTTTTTATTATTATAATTACTGGTGCCATCATCTGTTTCAGAGCCAGGTGTGTTACCGTTATAAAAGGCACCACCTTCGTAGAAAGGAGATCTCTGATGATGAGGATGGGAAGAGTACGTGTGATAAGGATTAACACGCCTTGAATTTGGCATTGATGCTGCTACATATAAATTTGGAAATTGATAATGAGCAGCATGATGATTTGGTGTGTATCCATAATTATCATGATGATCTGGTGGCATGTGTGGATGTGTGAAGGTTGGTGGTGGTAGTTGTTGATTTATTCCATTACCACTAACTGCACCTCCACTACTAACAACACTTCCATTAAGACTTGTTAATGATGGTGTACGGGTGCGTCCTCTGTCCCCGTATATAAAGTCTTCGTCTTCATCCAATTCAGCTATTTTTTGTTTGATATTTTCATATTATATATATATATATTTATTTTTCCATTCGAAAATAATTTAAATTAATCAAATCAAATCAGAACAAACATGTAATGTTTAAATAACAGGCAAAAAATAATTACCTTCAGCAGCATCAACCGCACTAGCTACATTAGCAGCAAAGATCTCCGCGCGCGACATTCCTTTGATACAAGTTATTCGAAGACATAAAACAATTTGATATACAATATGAACACACATCAAATTAGTTGAATGAAAATTGAATAAATTCAAATAAAGAGAGAAAACGCACCCTCAGTTATATTTGGCGATCGTTTTTTCTTTTTGGTCTTTGGAATTGCTTCGGTTGCTTTCACTGGACGTAGTGAGTCGGTCTGTTTATTTGTTTGTGTAGCATTTAAAAAACAATACAATAGAATGTTGATGAATAGTGTTCTTGAGCTCATTTTTCTACTGTGTTTTATTGTTAGTCCGTTCATCTCCCATCGATTCCACATAATTCCAATAATAAAAAAACAGTCGGTGTCCTCTTTCTCTAACGCCAGTAATTATCATAAGCCGACAAATCAAACAAAAATCATTTTTCCCGTCCCATCTCATTATTAAAAATCAGATTCAATAATTCCCATTATTACAATTCAAACTCAATAATTCAAATTCTAATTAGTGAGACATTTTTTTGGAATTATTATTATTAATTTTAAGTAAAACACTATAGCATACATACGGCATTATCTCGCGGTAACAAAATTACATATACACGTATGTAAAATGCAGAAATACACAATATTCGACAACAAAATCATCTCATTCCAGTCACACCCATTGAAAATAAAAATGCTAACCTGCTGCGAGTCTTTCTTACTATTTCCATTATTGGCATTCCGGTTACCGTAATAAGCAGTCTCTACAATAAGTTGTCTATCCGATGACCCTTTACTTTTCATTCTACCTGGCGTAAAAGTTGCGAATTTATTTACTAATTTTGTGGCGGCAGAAGGTGTTTTTGGCGGTGGTGGTTGTTGTGGTGTTAGTGGCTGCTGTGTTCCCACGGCAATATTAGTAGAGGTATTTAAAGTATTATTGTTTTTATTATTATCTTTTGATGTTTCTTCTATATTTGATGGTGATAATATTGGTTTTTGCTCCTCAGTTAACGACGATATCGTAGACTGCGGTAATGATGTGCTATTAGAAGACATTTTGTTTAAGTCGTCGTTGTTCTCTTATTTCTTTACTTTTTCCTGGTTAGAACAAGTCTTTACTAACACAATTACTATTATTCTTATTCTTGCTGTCGTTGTCGTTATTTTGATCAACTTTTATTACTATCGCCCTTGTGATTATTTACAATTTCTATCTATGATATTTCTCGTTTTCAGAATCACCTAAATATATTTTATACACAGAAAACGAGAACTGTGTATCATGAATTCGCAACGGATAGACCAAATGAATGAAAAGCAAGGGTTTAGTTTAGGTGAGAGAAAGAACAAAGGAATGACAAGGAAAATTAGGTGCTGCTTGCTTTGCTTACTCACTTGTTTAATTTGAGAGTGTATATATATATATATGTGTGTGTGTGTGTGTGTGTATAAATTGTATATATTATATATTTATTTATAAGGAAGTTAATATAAACTATGCGAGTATTCTTTATATTGTTGTTTGTTTTAATATTTGAAGAAAGGGGAAGAAAGGAAGGGTAAAAAGTTTAATTTATTTGTTTTTTTTTTTATTTTTACCTTACGACGTTTTTCCGTTGGACAGTTATTTTAAGAAGAAAGGTGTCCAAACATGTATATTGTATATATGTATATGTATATGTATATGTATATATTTATATCTATATATTATATTATGATATCTCTATATTATTATTATCGTTATGATTTAGTATGAGAAAGCACTTGTGTATGTGTAAGAACGTGTTTTTTTCGGTTTCCGAGCATGTATTTTTTTTCGGTTTCCGAGCATGTACAACAGACTCTATCTCTCTAGCAGTGATATATATATATATTAATAAATTTATGTAAAAGGGAAAAGGTCAAAGTTGAAGTGACGCTGGTGGTGGCGCTCGCTATTAACATTTGATTTTTCTATTATGAAGAGGGTACACGCACACCAACAATTCCAATGCAAGAAACCGAGAAACAATAAGATCAGATACTACAATGATGGAAAGAAGTGGAATGTATTGTGAAAGAGGAATATTTGAATTTCGACGATTGATAATGTATAAATGTGTTTATATATCTGCCTGCTGGTGATCAGGAAGAAGCAGAAGCAAGCAGGCAAAGGAATACAGTTAATAAAATGCTGTAAATGACGGTGATGACAAAGTAGCTTATACGTGTGTGTATCAATGCATCGATAGCATCATCTTTCACAAGTGTGTAAAGTATATTCGGGGTCTTTTGCTAATTATTAATTAAAAAAGAACTCTATAAATCTATTTAGTCTGTGTAAACGAACAAGAAAAAAAATGCAAAATAAGAGAGGAGGCAATCGTCATTATTATCTACATATTTATACAAAATTAGAAAGATAAAGGAAGAAGATCGAAGGAAAAAGGAAAGCAAAAAGAGGAAGTAGAATAGGAATTGGAATAGTGGATCATAGGAGATCTAGGGGGATCAATTAAGAAAAAAAAAGGAGAAAATGTTATCGTTATTTTTCCTGATTTTTCTCGATGAAAGACTAAAATTCTCAAGTGATCAAATCTACTAAAAAAAAAACCGTTACATAAAGCACATAGTACATACATACTTGTACTTGTACACTGTTTATATAATATATCGATATCAATATTACCACAATAACAAATAAACATATGCAATGCCAAAAAAACAGCTTTGTCTTTAGTTAAACGTCATACTTGATTTAGTTAACTGATGGTTAGATTGGACATTTACCGTAAAGAAGCAAGTAATGATGATAAGATGGATCACATGATTTACGGCGGTACACGGCGATACACTTGTTCTTTATTATTATCGAGAGGCTTTATTCAAAATCAGTTTAGAAACATTTATTCCAATAAAAAAAGATGACAAACTATTGTTACTTTTTTCTTTATCCTTGCTATACCTCTTTTGTTTCTTGCTTAATCCTAAATGAGATCAGTCAAATCTTTTTTGTTAACGTAAATAGTAAAGTTACCCTGGTCATCATCTTTCATCCGTATCGGTATCGTTTTGATTTTGGGAGACGAATCAGTTATCTGATGACAGATTTGGAGATTTATTACAAAGCCCTTTAACACAATTCGTTAATTAATAGGAATAAAACAAAAATGGATAAAGAAATAGAAAGCAAGTTAATAATATCCATGGATCTATGATCACAAAGTCCGATGATAATATGCAAAAGTCTGGAAAAAGTCTAAATAGCTATCTACAAAAGTCCATTGTTAGCAACAGTATATAAAAGTGTCCATTATATACTCGGCAACTAAACAAACAACTGGAGAATCACCCCCCCCCCCCCAGGGTCATTTCCACCCGTAATTGTCAATGAAAAGAATTTCAGGAGATTATGTGTATATTATAAATATATCGATATATTACAGTATAAATTTGTTGTGCACACGATTTATTACAATGGAAAAAGATTTGAAATGATTATGGGAATGCGAATGAGATAGGAGACTGTAACTTTTGGATCTCGATATTCACGTCATCGTTAAACCGGAAATGGATAAATATTCCGGAACAAAAAAAATACCAAGATCTCCCAGACAAAAGTTCAACACAACATTTCCGGTTTACCTTCATATTTGGAAGTTTATATGTTACCATAAACAAAGAAATGAATTTGATTTGTTATGACGACATTCTTGATATAACGATAACGATGTTATAACAATAACAAGAAAAGATTGTGAGATCGTGTGATAAACTACCAATCAAATGTATAATTTTAACGTTAACAGGTAATTTAATTGTAACGGTCTACGATCACGTGATCTCTCAATTTCCCTATCGCTATCCAAAAATTTCACCTCACGTGATGTATCTACACGTTTTTCATTTTTTTGGTCTCTGTTCATAGATATCATATGACATATTAAATACCTTGATCATGATATAATAAATCCGAACTTAAATTACACAACTTATTTTATAATTCACTACATTGCATAAATTACTGATATTATATACACTTGTATTATGCTTGTTATAAATCCGCAAAGAATCCATTATTAGATCCGGATCTATCCAAAGAACTTGAGATCCCATTCCTCTTATCATCATCCATCTCATCATCGGAATCAGATTCATCATCATCACCACCACCAGCAGTATCCATTTGTTGTATATCAGCCTCATCATTATCACTATCCTCCTTGTCACTATCATCATTGTCTAGGTTAAAAAGAAATCCAGCATCCCAAAATTTCACAGTATTATCGTGAGAGCAACTAGCCAAATAATTTTGATCATGAGAAAGACGAATACGCTCTATTGGCATATCGTTACCATGATCACCAATTACACCTTTGAATTTGTTCGGGAGAATGCCAACGGCTCTAAAAAAGATAGAATAGAATTGAAAATTTGAAGCCAAATGTTAATATATATGTCATATATACGTATAGGCATACCGTATTATACCATCACTAGACCCAGTACAAATTAAATCTTCGGTAATTTTTACAATTGTGTCTATGGAATTAGGATGTCCAGGAAACCGATCGTTACAGTCTCCCCAATTTCCCCAATTAAATAAATTAAGAATTCCTTCTTGTGATCCCACCACTGCTTTACGACCATCCTATATACAAATAGAAGAGTAAGATTAAATTCTATTAATTATTACAAATTAATTAATTAATTAATTAATTACCTTGATAATAGCAATAGAAAGTAATTCATCATCTTGATTATCTGACATTGCTACTAAATTTGGACGTCTTATATCATAGACGGATAATGTACCATCACCACTACGACACGAATTTATTAAAAACATATTTAAAACACACAATGAATACACCTCCGAAACAATGATAGATAGCTGAAATTCCTCGTCTGTTTCACCTCGTAGACACCAAAGTTTTGTGCTCTGCACTAAATGCCAGATCTGAAATAAAATCCTCGTGTTCAGAGTATTCCATTGTTTCGTTGCCTTGTCGAGTATCCCATAACTAAAGTGATTATATTTTAATTTATAAAGGTCTAGTAATATAAAATACGTAAACACAATTAATTACCTTTATGACACCATCATCATCGCCCGTCGCAAGAACGTATTGATTTAATTGTTGTACACAATTAATCGGACCACTTAAAAATATAAATGAAATATATTATAAAAAGTTTACTAGCGATTCTTATATATAAAAAGCATACTCATGTGCATTATGTTTCGTAACAAGAATTCCCCCTGTTGACACATCAATTACTTGTATTGATTTATCTTTTGATACACTATATAATGCTATAAAATTGAAGTGACAATAAATTTGCTGTTTGTAAATAATTCAAGAAAAATAAAACTAAAGAGACTTGCCAGATCCATCGAGATTAAATTCTAAACCACGGCAAGATTTTCGATGTGGTCTTATTTTTAATAAATTCTCATTTTCGATATTCTCGTCTTGGTTGTATCTAAAGCTATAATCAATTAATTGATTAAACTGATTGATTGATTGATTCATTTTTTGATTTAAATATAAAAAAAACGAACCAAAAAACTTCGCCAGTTATGAGACCCGTAGCTATGATATTTTCGCTAGGGTGAAAGGCAAAATCAAACACTTGATCCTCGAATTCAAGAGGATTTGGCACTTGAGATTCTGTCTTTTCAAAAGTTAGTTCGAGTAAGCATCATATATAAGTTCACTTTAGCGCGTACCGAATTCATTGTAATAAAAGCTGTAATTCTTAAAGCTGGCAGAATTAGCAACCTGATCGATAAACATGATAATTTATTCACGTGCCGGAAATTTAAATCTTGCTTTTACCACAAGACTATTAAATTCGTAATGGAAAAATCATTGGTTTTATTAAAAAATTTGGATGGTTTATGCAGCAAATTACGATAAGTTGAATGGAAGAAAATAATAAAATAACTAAAAGATTTATAACTAAATTATTAAAGATAAATAATATATGTTCATTTTGTGAGCAGCTCAAAAATCTTATAATTTCAAATATCAAAGATTATACTTAATTGAATAATTATTTTATTATAACAAAATTACAATTTTAATAATAATGTACATGAAGAAAATCTTATAATATGATATTTCATTATTCAGTTCATTAAGTATTATATTTTAGCCAATCAAATTTTTAATTATTTCACATCAAGTTCAAAATATTTTTTTATTCTTTTACAGATTACTTTTTTGTACTGTTATATAATAAAGAATATTTTAATTGAAAAATAATTATTTAATTATACAGTCTACTCTCTCTATTATCAACATGACGGAACCAGGCATTTTCGTTGATATTTAAAAGGATTGATAACTCAGAAGTTAGATTTAGTATTATATATTAGTTCAAGTGAAATTTGTTCTGCAATAAATGTTGATAATAAAGAGGTATTAATATTAAAGAAATTGATAATAGAGAGGATAGACTGTAATTGGTAATTATTAATAAAAAAGTATAAAAGAAAGCAAAAATAAAATATATAAATACAAGTTATATTTTAGCATAAAAAAATAATTATTCTTGTAATAGCTTAATAAAGAAAGTGATAAATATTTTTTGATATTTATTCATATATATAAATAATTTTTTTTGATTTTAATTCAACAATAAGCTATTTGAATTTTGTTTATTGATCTCTAAATCATATTAATCATATAAATTATTTTATATTAAATAATATATTATTTTAATATTTTGTTATTTAAAATATTGTTACTTTTTTTAAAGAATTGGTTTTATTCTAGTTAATCACAACAAAAACATTGTTATTTATCTTGAAATTATCTACTATTTCTTTAAAATTATTAAAAATCCCTCTATCATCTTTTATTATAAAAATATTCAAAGTGATGACTATTATTATTTGTTGTTTTCAAATTAAATCTGGTTTTCTTTTTTTATTGTTCAATTTCACCAAAAAATCATGAATAATGCCTGTTTTTGATATTTGACTGAAAACTGCTGCTTTTTCCTTTCCTTTTTCAAACAAAAAAGTATAATATATATTTTTGGTGAAAAAAAAAAACCAAAAAATACATTTCTAGAAGTGACCTCGAGCCACTTTATTAATCTTTTTCATAAATTAATGTAAATGATGTGCAACCGCCACCACACGAGACGACTTTTTGGCATCCAGCAACACATCCAGTTCCACAAGAACCTGCTGAGTCTCCTCCGGATTTATAATCCAGAGTGTACAGCATTGGCTTCGCGTGGCAAAGTCATTGCCGGTAGATAGGAACTATTTATATATTACCAAATACAAAGTTTTTTAAGAAATCAGATTATATTTGATTATTATTGCATATGTAACGCATGCAAGAATTATCTATTGCATACCTGATCTCCAACGTGTAATGTCTGTTCAGACGTAGCCCCCAAAAACTCTTGAAGGATTTGTACACCGATCAACTTATTCCCACTAATATTACATATCACAAAAATATACAAAGTCGTTTCGCATTCACACTTGAAAAAAGTGAGAAATGAAAAGACAAAAATCTTTGATGTCTTCTTACATGTCTACCCAAACGTCACTTCCGCCATTAAACGCGCAAAAAGGTAACTGGAATTCTTTGCCTTTTGGCGATTGCATGAACGATACGAGACGATGTTGGGTAGAGAGTGCACATTCATCCTGTACGTTGGGTATGGTGAAGAATTTTGTCAATTCTTGAATCATTTTTTTATACATTTACATATTACCTACCAGTTGTTCACGAAATATTTTAACTTTTGGCTTTGGCACAATTCCTAATATTTATAATGAATAATCAATGGATTTGGTATTTACTTCGGATACAAATAAAATCAAAAATTGATGCTTACCAACAGCTTTGCTCTTCCGTAATACCGTGCACGGAAGACGCATCTCATCAACACATGCCCGTAGATTCTCCTCTGCCACATCTAATAACTTGCTAATTTGGTCTGGTGTCCATTTGCTAACGAATTCAGGTTGATAAACGCTTTTCAAAGTAACAAAATGATTAGATGGTGATATACATTATTAAGAAAAAATAAAGGATAATCACAATCAAATAAAACTCAATTTATTATAATACTTACTGTTCTGGTATATATTTTAAATGATAATTTTCTTGACATTGAAACAAGAAATTACACTCTCCTCCTAAATAAAATAAATATAAAACGAAAAAATTCAAATTCAAATCCAATGGCTTGAAAAATAACACATAATAAAATATATGGGAATATCTTGAAAGTAATACCATTAACAATAAATAATCGATACAAATTTGCATACCTAAAATTCTGATTATTCAATTACTAACCTAAAAGGAAAAATCTTCCCACGATCTCTTTTGGTAAATTTGCTCTTTCAAAACCTTTAAGTAACCCCGAGAGACGTTGTTCATATCGTTCCGCGTTCGTGTGGTATCCAGCAGCCGTTACCACACATACGTATAGATCGAATTTTAGTAGACGAACAAGCAGATTGACCAGTGCTGAGTCTTGATCAAAATCTGCACCGTCGTTATATAAAGTCATATCACCATCACTAAATATAAATAGGTAAATTATTAATGATAAGGATAATTTTTAAGTCTTATATAAATGACAGTATCGTAAATTCTTACAAAGTGATTAATTTTAGACCAGATGCAATGGCAATAATCTGTGATGAAATAAACGCGTTATTGGTAATTTCCTACTTCGATATTATTCTCTGTTAACTTACTCACCTGTGCCGTATTCAAAATTCTTTAATATATTCATGAATAAACGTGTCAAAACACAAAATTGTTAATCTCCACAAATTCAACAAAATCAAGACACCAAATACATATACACAAGCGAATTTTCACGTATATACGCACACCTTCGAATATCATTAAAGCTCGGAGGCACGAATCGACGTGCAGCAATTGAATGCTTGGTATTAGCCAACAGAAATGATTCTTTCAGAGGTAATGATGTATGGAATGTTGAAACGGATGGGACGAGTCTGGCTAATCGCGATTGATCAGGGAGACCTTATCGTCGTAATGAGATAGTTAACACTTAATAATAACGAAAATTGACTTATCAATGAAAGTTTACCTTTTTTTGTTTTTGAAATATGCTCCTGAAAGAAATATAGAGATTAGATTGACTACTCAATAAGTTCGATCAATTAACAATAACAAAAATGGTCCATTTTCTGAGACTCACATTAATCATCCCTTCAATACTTTCCAGGATTTCACAATACCTCGAGACATTAGCATCCATTGTGTATGGTTCATCACCACTTTCATTCAGATCATCATCCGTCGGAGGTATCGGCTTAGCGTGTAATACAAATGGTGTCATCAACATAGCCTATATCATCAAAGATTTCGTGTAATGTGCTATGTGATGTGCATTGATATTATCGGAAAAGTAAAAAATGTTCTTTACTAAACCTTTATCCATTCAATGAATGGGTCACGTTTATGTGCTCGCAGAGCATAATTTATCTGTAGGTGTGTAGACTTTGAGGATTAGTTTGCACAAGTATAAATGACCAAAAGCATATTTTCTTACTCTGTAATTCGACGTCATGACTGACAAATTTTTGAAAAAACTCAAAAAAAGATGGCCTATATATAGGCAATATGCCAATTTATTAATAATCCAAAAAAAGTGTTTTCCCCACAATAGCTCATATCGATAAGAACAAATATTAACGTTAGGTGCTACCATGATTGTAAATAACGATAACCATTCTAAAATGAGTTTAAAATAGCGATATATAATATGAACATCCTTTCAAAAAATAATAAAGTTTAGATTAATAAGCTCGATAAACAAGATAAAATTTGAAAATTCGGTTTATCGATGTTTTAATTAGTAACGAGAATCGAGAATCAACTGTAAGAAACTTTTTTTTACTCAATTCCTTACATTTTGAACTTTAAATCTAATTCAAAAGTTATATCAATATCTGGTATACTTATTAATCAAATTAGAAAAATTCATTTTTATTCCGTGATGCTTGTGAAATAAAATCTTCTATTACATTATTATCATTATATAACAAGTTGTATTATCAGCTCCACCTTCAATATTTTTTGATTCTTGAGTAAAAAAGGGTGAATTGAGAGTTGGTAAAAGTTTTTATTCAGAATATGCAGTTTGGCTATGAATTGTTAACGATGGGCAAATTTTTGTTATATAATGATAAAGAGATAACTTGCTAGTTTGGTTTCCAGTTCTAATTCATCTTGAAGTAAATGAATGAACTATTTAATAAATAATACATACAGTCGACTCTCTCTATAACGAACCTTGAATTTTTAAATTTTATATTAGTTCGTTATAGAAAGAGTAGTAGGCTCTATAGAAAACATAGTGATTTTATATAACGAACTTTTTTTTTACTACCAGAACCGTCAGTTCGTTATAGAGTTGACTGTATACTGTCAACTAGCAAACATTGTTATTGAATTTACTATGGAAAATTAGATTTGCAATTTAATACATTATCGTCACAACATGAGCAAGAATCGGTATTCTGATTATATATAGATGCACACTTCAACCTCTGTAATAAGAATTTTAATTTTTCAAAAAATTTTCGTAATTATAATTCACTTAACCGACGGCATTAAGCCGCCGAAAAACATAATACAGCGAGCGCTCTTAAGATAATCTCTCGTTATAATAACACAATATACTGTGATAAGCTTTCATAGTATTTATTTTTTCGATAGAGTAACAACTCGATATCATAACACCAAATCTCTTATTGTATCCAGTGCTCACTGTAGTAATTAACAGGATAAATGAAAACGATAGATCGTCCATTTATGTGCGAGTAGTTTCTACGCGGATCATAAATATGTCAATGCCTCAAGTCTGAGTGGACCGCCATCACGTTTTATGAATTGGGCCATCCGACCTATATATAACGGAAAGACTGCTTGCTGAATAATCTTGGCGGATTTGGTACGTTTATTAAGCCATAAACGAAACATCCTTTGTATAATTAATACAACATGAATTTTTTGCAATACTCGGAGTGAGACAAAATCTATAATATGCCATTTCGAGAAGTGCGCTCATTAATTCATGCATCTCTTAGCATATAAAAAAAGAAGCAGTTTTTATCTTCCTTATTATATTGGTAAGGGAAGTGTCTATATAGTGCTCCAACCGGGTCGGGTCCAATCCATGACCCGACCCGGAACGCACATTTCGGGTCAGCCTAAAAATCGTTGTTTCTCGTTCAATATTAATTGAAATTAAACGAAAATTTGTGGATATACGTATACACAATTACTAGGGGTGCAGACATATTGTGAAGGTTGCAACTCTAATAACAACTCGCTTATGACGTATTAGGGTTGCAACTGCTGGGTTGCCGTATTCGAAATACGACTTATAGTAAAGTTGCAACTCTAATACAACTCGCACATATCGCATTAGAGTTGAAACTTTGATCTTACAATATGTTCGCAGCTCTAACAATTACATTCCGAACAACTCTACTTAAGACGCAAAATACAAGTGTCTTAGTAAAAATAAAATTTATTAACGAAAAACTATTTTATGATTTTCGAGTCAGTCAGAGCTTTAGAAGTGTCTTTTATCAGGTGATTTCCATTTATTACATTTTATAAAATAAATTTTATTTATATACGTATTTATTAAAATTATATAAGAAATACACAAAATTAAAAAAAAAATATGAATTTAAATTCAATGAAAAGCAATAAAATTTTGTAAACAAAATATACAAAATCTTACTTATATATTAATATAATTATACATATTTGTAAAATAAACACTAATAACAGGATCTCTCATTTATATATCAAAGAAACAATGATATTAATACCAGGATCTCTTACTGTAATAATGCACAGGATCTTTCACTTATGTACCATAAATGGCACCAGGACCTCTCAACTGTTAAATACACAATATAATTTCTTGCATACTCGCATTATTAAAAAATATTATTGATCCGATTAATGAGATTACTATCATCAAAAACCATATTAGCCATCATTGTTGTTCTTGCTGGTACTGCTGCGGCTGCAGCACCAATTGTTGCAAGAATTGTACTTGCGTAGAGGGTCGTTGTGGCCGTGATGGTGGTGATGGTGATGATGACAATTCGTGGGACTGAGCGCGAGCTTGTCTGCTGCCCATCTTATTAAAAAAGAAGAAATGAGTATGTGTATACATGGGTGTTCGTGCATTCGCGAAGGCACGAACGCTAACTCACGAATGCAAGCAAGGAGAACTTACCTTGATACTGGTGGTCGTCGTCATGGTGGCGGTGGTGATTAGCGGCGGTGGTGGTGGTGGAGGCAGTGTTTAAAATTCATTTAAAAATTAATATGCGCGCCCGCGTACTTTTAAAATAATCTATCTGTGCAAAATTTTCTCAATATGCGCATGACATAATATCAATGCCTCATATTATTGAATTTAGGATTAAAGTATGAATTTTTTTTATCGGCGCAACCAGTCTCCAAAACACTGGATGGAGGTGGTTAGCGATGGTGGTGGTGCTGGTAGTGGTTAGCGGTGATAATGGTGGTGATGGTAGTGGTTAGCGGTGATAATGGTGGTGATGGTAGTGGTTAGCGGTGATAATGGTGGTAGTGGTTAGCGGTGATAATGGTGGTAGTGGTTAGCGGTGATAATGGTGGTAGTGGTTAGCGGTGATAATGGTAGTAGTGGTTAGCGGTGGTGGTAGTAGTGGTTAGTGGTAGTAGTGGTAGTGGTTAGTGGTAGTAGTGGTAGTGGTGGTTAGTGGTGGTAGTAGTGGTTAGTGGTAGTAGTGGTAGTGGTGGTGGTGGTTAACGATAAAAAAATAAAAATTAATCAAGATCCACGTGACCACGTGGATCGTCGGAAAAGTGGGGAGGAAAAATGGGAAAGAGAGGAGGTACCCCTGATATTATTGTACTTGGAAAAACTAACATCGCGCAACGAATGAAACCAGTGCACGACCACGTAAGATTGGCAACAAAAGAAAGAAGTATAGCTCATTGAATTCATGAATCTAATGGTAAGGGCAATGACATTTATTATCTAATATTTTAGAGAATGGAAATAGAACTTGATATTAAGCATTTTAATTGGATAAAAGATCTTATTTGGAGATGGGGGAGAAGGCACCTCTATTAAAATATAACATTTTGAAATTTTTTATAATTTTTATAATTACACTCTAAATTTTTAATAAGCATCTGAAAAAATGCTATCTTGGCATCCAGTAATCAGGGAAAAGCTCATTGGATTCGTCTCATCTCGATATGAGCGATATTCGTCGAGATATAGCATTTTGAAATTTGATTAAAATTTTCGGATTGGTTCAGTTTAATTCGACCCGCATTTTTTGGATCAAGTCATCGAGTAACCCAACATTCTGTGTTAGGTTATATCGATCTCGACACAACAACCAATAAGGATGCGCAATTTTTTGTCGATCTCGACACAGCAGGCAGGTTCTCTAATCCAGAGAATTTAATTTGTTACCTGGATTAATAACTTAATAATCCAGTAATTACTCGAATAATCCAGTAAATTACTCGAATAATCCAGTGCCAACCCTGCAGCAACCAATAAAAATGCGAAAATTTTTGATCAGCACGGCAAAACATCCGGCGCAAAAAAATAAAAAGCAAAAAATGTAAAAAACACGAGAGGCTGACGCCTAAATCTAGCTTGGTACACTAACCAAAAATGTCGGAGAGGCAATTTTACATATAACCTTAATCTCCTTTAATGTTACAGTAGAATTTGCCGGGATTGGCAAAACCTGGCACAGAATGTTGGAGGGTGCATCAAATCTCAGGTTCTTTTATAATTCTAAAAATCAATATCCCTTAATATAAGACTGATCCTGATCATATATATCATGTGAGAGGTAAGATGTTCGTACACCCCTCTTCCCCCTTTGATAATGTGTCACTTCCCTAATTTTAAAGGATACAGTAATAATTAATTTTATTCTCGGAAAAAGATGTCGTCATATGTCCACAAAAAAAAGGGTCGGATCATGTGATATTTGTGTATGTCCGGCAAAATTCTACGATAATATAGGTTATTGTTAAAGGTTAATTTAAAGGTTAGAATTAGGGTTAGAGCTGGAGTCAAGATTATATGTAAAATTGTTCTTTCCAACTCTTTTTTTTAGTGTACTAAGCTGGATTTAGCCGTATTTTTTACTTTTTTTGCTTTTTCATTTTCTTGCGCCGGATTTGTTTTACCGGGCCATAATGACGACTCAATAAGCCGCTTTGCATGTAGATTACTTGTGTAATAAATAGATCACATGTAGATACTCAAATTACGTTATCGATAAGTTTGGCAGCTTGAGTCATCGACTATTAAAGATCAGCTATTTAACATTAATCGTTTTCTTCCATTAAACTTTGTTTCGTTTCATTTACTTGTACCTTTATTTAATAAATTGGTTGGAACTACTTAAAAATTTCTTGGGTGACTTTTCATTAAATTCACAGTTTATAAGGAAGTGACTTTCTTGAACAGTTGAATTTTGGATATTAACTGTCTCGTGACACCACCTTGTGATTCTGTGCTTGTCATTTCTCGAAAAGTCTCTAGTTTGTGTTGTTTCCTAGCGAGATTCTTTGTCGAATCAAATTAGGACACAGTTCTAAGTTTGTTTGCATTTCGAATTACCCTCCAAATCTCAAAAGTATCTTTGTGCAATGAGTAGTTATAGGTTAGTTCCTCTGTTGATAAATAACTAAAAGGAAGATTTGCATATTACAACTTTCTCTATTTAAATAATAACTATATTGCTATTACTCTCTGAATAACTTCTAGGGTATTAGACTTAAAGGTAAATTTGACTGAAAATAACAGATATTCCACTTTATCATATTTTCGCAGTAAAATCACTGAAACTATTTCCATCTTTAACTAATCTATTCAAATGATCTTTTAAGATGTACAAAACAGATTCTGGTTTCTACGTAATTGATGTGCTCCCACTTCATCATGCCAGCAAACGCCCATTCCATCTTGAGGAAAGAATGAAATCTAAAAAATCAGGTTCCTACGAGGCTCAAGCGAAACGTGAGGCAATTTTAGAGGAAAGACGTCTGAAACTCGCACGTCAATATTTGCATGTTAAAAATGTTCTCAGCAAGCAACATCAACATGCGCTGCACGATTCGTCTACGAAACGCTCGCAAATCCAAAAAACCCTGCAATCTGCCGAACGTAAACGCAACACTATTCTCCAACAATTAGTTGAGCAATGTGCCCAACAAGTTGCTAGGTGCAAAGAAGTTGCCCGTCAACAGCAGTTGAAAAACCAAGAAGAAATTGATCGACGTCGTGCCGATATGGAGCGTCGCCAAAAGGCAACTGCAGCTCGTCGTGCCAAACTTCTTAATGTTCCAAAATCTCGTATCTTGAACTCAAATATACAGCTAACTCGTGACCAAGCTGCAACTATCATTCAGAATAATTGGCGTTATAAACAATACTATGGCGCTGCCAAAAGTTTCAGAAAATTTAATATTTCGTTGAAATCTACCAAGGCACTTTCTTTCCAAGAGACGGTAAAACTTTTGAAACAACCGGCGATAATCCAGGTGACCCTTAGATTATTGCAGCGGATGAGAAAAGCCTCAGCATTGACTTCTGGCTCCAACAGGTATAAGAATGTGGCTAGAGTATTTCTTAGCGCATACATGATAGTTTCGCACACCAACGAAATTCTTGAATCCATTGGCAAGCAGGAAAAAGTATATTTTTTATTCGAATTCTAAGCTAAAAGATAATATAAAGCGTATTAATAATAAATTATTTCTTTCTTTCTCGCGATTATAGGCGTTGTTGGAATCAGCGAAAATTATGCTCGATGAATTTGAGCACTGGATCGATGAAATAGTTTATGGTCCACCTAATAAAATTCACCATTCTATTTTGTGCAAGTTTCTTTCGTCGTGGGCTACCTACTATAATGATTTTAACACTTGGAAATCAAAAGACTCTGAAGAGCTTACCAACAATCTTATATCTCATTATGTAGAAATGGAAAAATTATGGAACAGCGTAAAGGGACAGGCTAATGCTGAAACTGAGTGGAGGCCTAGCTTGAAACAACAGCAAGAAAAGATAAGGCAGAAAATCAGACATTTGAGTGGTGAAGCTGGGATGACGAGGTTGGAGAGTGCTCTGGCACAATTAAGGGAAAACACGTCAAGTAAATTTATCGATGAACTTAATAAATTAGATACAGTTCAAGGAAATGTATTTGACACACATGCATTGGCTTCAACAACACCTTTGGCTTCAAATGATGTTCACACATCATCGTCGTCGTCGTCGTCGTCATCTCCCAAATCTTCTTTGCAAGTATTTCCTATTAAATCAGATACCCTCGCAACCTCGCTTGACGTATTAAACGTCTTACCTTCCTCTTTAAGCAAGAAAACAAATCTTAAATCTACTGCTGATTTGCACCAAACGCCATCACTCCAAAAAAATGCGCAGAACAGTTTAGTTAACAATACCGAACACGCTTCTCGTTCTTCACCTTCAACTTCATTGAACAAAGGCGAAGATACAGCCAATACCACCACTTTGCCTGAATCTTTTGGCGTTATTGATTTATCTTCAGTTCCTGCGTCTGGGCACGATCTTCGCCGAATTATTGGTCCTGTGGGAAGTGATTCAGGTTTTACGAATGAACAACTTGCTCATGAAATTATTATTGATCCCGACTTTGAAATTAAGCCTCGTAAAAAAACGGAATTTGAGGAACGTGTTCAGGTCATGGCTACTCAAGCATTTTTCAGTTGCGTCAGAGCAGAATTTGAACAAGGAAAATATGATCATTATCTACCACAGATACTTGAAGAGATAAAACAAGTATGTAGTCTGCTGCTTGTCATTAATGATGAGATTAAAATTTAGTAATATTGAATTTAGCTAATTTTTATTTCTATTTCTACAGCACCTTCTTGAGCTTGTACCACCTTCTTCTGTATTATCTACTTCAATCAATGAAGTTCTTGATATCGAATTAATTAAGCAGCAAACAAAAGCAGGCGTTTACAACTTTAGAAATTGTATCATGTTCATCACCAAAACAATGCTTCAAATTTGTGCACCTGTACGCGATGAACAAATAAAATCGCTCAAAGAAGTCACGGAACTTTCCGAAATTTTACGTCGATTATTGGAAATTCTAGATTTGATGAGATTCGATCTTAATAATTACCGAGTGAAAGCTTTGAGACCATACATCAAAGAACAAGCTGTCGACTATGAAAGACGCAAGTTTGAACAATCGCTTACAAATAATAATAATTCCTTAGCATTAACCAAAGCTTGGTTGAAGCCTACCATAGAATCACTATTAAGAACCGCAGCAGAACGTAACCCAGAAAACGTTCATTTACCACAACATCAACACAATCACGGTGTTAAATTTGATCAAGCTTATAACGAGGCATTGGTTTCTTATATCTTTCAGGCTACGAGTATTGATAAAAGTAATTGCCCGGAAACATTCGCATTAGATGTCGCCAGACTTTTCAATTTTCAGAATGAAGGACAAGCAATTACAATCGTTGCCGCTTTACTGATGCTTACTAAAAACGTGGTGATCGGCAGCGGAACGATGCAATCAAAATCCTCTAATTCTTGCTCCCACTCAACAAACTTCTCATCTTTTATTCACACAGAGGACAACATCAACAAGCTCAAAGACAGACTCTTCGTTTTGTTGACAGACGACGAAATCACTTTGGAAAATTTATCCGCGGAAATCATATCGCAGCTACCATCAACACTAACAGCAGAAAATCAAGCACTCATCAAATCAATGGTCTCGAAAACCCTGTCTCAATCTGATAAGGTGTTTTCTCTGTTATCGCGACGAATTCAAAGCATTATCAAGCAACATTTACAAACTGGACAGTTCCCTAAATGTGAGACTCTAGCTCAGTATGGGGTTTTGCCCGTGGCAAAAGAATTGGAACAGTTGAGTACTAAAATATGCGTTGTTGGACGCTATAATCGTGAGGTTTATGCTAAATGGTATGATGCAGTGATTTGGGAGCTGTTGCGGGAAGTAAGAGGTGATTCTTAGACAATATGTATAGTATTATTGTATCATTGTATTATTGTATTATCAGAATGTGTAAAGTAAGATAAATTTTTTAAACCCCTCCACTTCATCAGTATTTATCTTAATAAATCACAAAGGAAGTTTTAGTGAAACCTATAGCTGATCTAATCTTTTGAGTTGTGATATTCATACAGTAATACAAAGACAATATAATCGAGATTCCTAGGTCATTTTTTCTTTTATCTAATAAGTTGAAATTTTCCAAAAGAACAAAGCAAGAAATGTGAAACAGCTTGGTACACTAATAAAAAATGTCGGTGAGGCAATTTTACATATAATTAATTAACATTACATTACAGTAGAATTTAGGTTTTTTAGATTTGTCAAAATCTGAAACAAAGAATATAATTTGATCATATATAATTAAAAAGATATATAGTTAATCGAAAATACAATAGTTCATGATTGTGAATCTATTCCAGAAATTTTATTTTTGAAAATATGACTATTTAAATAAATTATATGTATTCGTCAATTCAACAAGAAAATCTGTAATCCCAATACTTGTGCGAGACCAAACCCATGCGAACTCAGAAATAAAGTGAGATTCGCCCTATATAAATAATAAATTACAAAATTACTAATTACAAATAGTCTCGAAAATATAATAAATGATAAAAAATACATGTGATAAAAATTAAATAATTTATTTAAAGCTTAAGATGAGGCCCAAGTATAACTATATTTTCACTCGGAAATTACCAATTTCGTTATACTTTCTAATATACTAACACCCATTCCTCGCACAACTTCCTTTTCTGCCAAAAATCCATCCACCAATCCATCTACCATGACTCTTGAATTTTCCGATCCCATAACTTGTTTCAGGGAATCTGGTACCAATTTCTTCAACAGCAATTTCTTTGCCTCTTCTTTTGTTTGTAATTTTTCTTGTTCTGAGCGTAGAGTAGCAGGATCAGCCCAAATTCCATTAGGCCAAAATGAATTTGATAATTTATTTATTGCATTCACAGCTTGTTCTTCGGTGAATGATGATTCAATAGCTTCCAAGAAAGATTGTTTGATCACCTGAGAGAAAGATCTTCTTACTACTTCCCGGAGCACCGAAAGAACTGTTTTCCGAAGATGCCATTGTGATTTTTCTGATAAATCGAATATTTCTTCGACTACGGCAAACATTGTGTCTATTAATAGGTCAATATCTTGACCGGTTAATTGTTTATTTGGTCTTGTGTATCGTTTTGGGGATTCTGTTGGAGAAAGGTGATCAATTTCGGAACCAGGTAAACTTTGCTCTTCGATTATGACAACTTTACTATTGATTAAAGACATATCAGATATATCCGATGCTGGATTGCACGTTATTGGAGTGGTAGTTACACTGTTTGGTGACTCATTATCATCAAGATTTGAAGTTGGTGTTGTTACTGTTGTGCTTGAATCCCATGAAGAAGAGGTGACAGTTTCAATACTGGTGCGTACACGTATCGAATCATTTGCGCGTTTACGTGGCAATCCTGAAGAATTTTCTGAAGTTATATCAAAGGAAGAAAGATCGGCTGAAAGTGTCTCTGAAGAATTCTTTCGCAATCTATTCCCAATAGTCGTGCCGCCTAAAATCTCTTTACTCATAAGATTAATCATAGACGGAGATTTAATTGAAAATTTTTTCGCATTCCATAAGCTATTCTTTTGAATGCCTTTAGTATCTGCAGAATTCATTTCTTTGGGCACTCCATCCCTTTTCATAAAAGTTTGTAATGGTTTACTTTGACATAAGCCATTATCACTTAATAAAATGTTCAAATATCTTTCTAATGCTTTGCATGCTTCATGATTCTTTTTTAATCGTAGACGAGGCATTGAGACTTTTTCCGCTTTTGGAAATTCTTCAACTAATTCTGTGTGCATTTTTTCAAAGTCATTGAAACTTCGAGTCATAATCCATCCAGTGGAACCCGGTTGTTCAACTTCAATCATGTATGCTAAAGATTTAGTCAGATAAATATATTTATTGGGTGATGACTCAGAAACATCCGACATTCTTATTCGTACCCCGTCAAGATTCATCATTATATCTGGTTCTTTTTCGTCGTCCTCATCTTCGTATAAAGGTGAATCTTGTTCTTCGCCGTCCTCGTCTTGTTCGTCTTTTTGTGGCTCATGTGAAGATATTTTTATCTCGTCATTTTGTAATTCTTCGAGACCTTTTGTCCTTTGTTCTTCATGCAAATTTTCGTTCTCTATAACTTTTTCTACATTTTGTAACACACTTCCTGTTGATAATGATCTTGAACGGCGTTTTAGATTATCAATGGGTTGTGATTCTGGTATATCAAGTACATCAGGCGGAAATTCAGTCTTTGTTGGATTAGGAGTAAGAGACGAATTATCTATGGTATTAGATCGCTTGTGACGTCTTTCTTCACCTTCTGAAATATGCGACGTAGATAAAGAAGAGGATGATCCATCATAAGAATTGTTTTTCAATAGAGGGGATTTAGATGGGGTGTTTGAGGTTATTGTTATTGATAAGGGGGAACTTGTCAATGGCTGATTACTAGAATGAGAAAGAGGTAAAGACATCACACGTTTAAAGTTGTTTTTTATTTCATCTTTAACGCGACTGAAACCGTTCTTTTTCTCGTCTTTCACCTCTATCAGGCTTAAGTCTTGGCCTTGTACTTGCATTTCTTGAATAAAATCATCATAATAATCCCTTTCTAATATACCAAAAATATATTCCTGTACAGTTATGAAGCAATTTCCTGTGGGTGCTTCTTCAATTTCTTGCATACATCTTCTAACTAATCCTTCTGGAATAACTTTAATTGGAGATGTTGCAGTCTCACCGAAATATAAATTATATATCCGCAATGCATCCGCTTGTATGACATCTGGGTTTACTTCATCGGACGCGATTTTACGAAAAGAATCAACCTGCAGCCAAAAACGCAGTAAATTGGCCGAATCTAATTCTTCTAAAAACGCCATAAACTCTGCGAAAATTTCGCTTTGTTGTTGAAGAATTTTTTGAAGTTGAGCAGATTTATCTGAACGCAAGAAAGCCCTGTTTGGAGATAAAGGTGGAGTTAGGGAATCCGTGACATTGATAGTAGGATTTTTCTGAGATACACTAGTTGCCAGATTGCGTTCAAAAGAAGATTCTCTCGAAGAATTCTCATTGGTGTCTGTATTACTATTAATACTCAAACTACCCGGAATTCCATTAGTTATATCAATGAGAGAATCCAAAAATTCTGCATCGCGATTTGACGAAATTGAAGCACGATTGCTTGAACTAGGACTACTGCCAGAATCCTCAGAAGGCTCTTTTAATTTTTCCGCAAGTCCAGCCACTTCTTCATCAATAGACGATGCCAATTGTTGGAAAAGACTAGAATCATTTTCCTCAGCCGAATTATTAACCTCTGTAAGATAATCCACGATTGTACAATTAATCCAGTCAGGATCACAAATAGTATCCAAAGTTTTCTGAAAAACTTCATTTGCCCACATTTCCGAAAAGTAAGCCATCAAAATCCCGCTCTCTGCTTCGCTATTTGGCAAAAGACGCGAAAACATAAGACGGGAGAGTGCTCGTAGCGTTTGTGCTTGTGTTTTTTTATTTGTGGTGTAGACGAATGGTGAGGTTTCATTTAATTTGCAGTACGTGTCCAAAGTTTGGTGTGCCGAAACGAATTTACGGTATTCGCGCTAATAAAGATAAAAAGAATGTTCTTTTAATGATTCCGGATTTTCTGTATATTATTTGTATATTATCTTTAGAAATGGCAATTTCCGTTTTGGCAAGACTTTTACATTCAATTATGTTATTATTAATCGAGAGTAATCTTTTTCTTTATATGCTAAATATAATAAGGCAAGTGGTGGATTCAATAAAGTAAATGTTTCCCATAATAAAAAATGACATACCAAATGAACAATAAAAGTATTTGAAATAGCAAAACCGGACATAATACCCAAATCGACTTTATCTAATTTCTGAAAACATAACGACAAATTCATTGCCATTGAATTCAAACTTTTTCGAACTTGATCGGTGAATTCAGTGTCATTGTTTGGATTTATTGGATCGTAGTATAAATGAACAAAGTCTCGCATAATCAAATCAAATAATTTGCTCAGAGACGCGTCAATGTTGGGACTTATGGCAAGTTCAGTCGAGGACACTTTCTTGGGTGGCTAAATTATCCAAAGTCGTTCAGCAACGTTTGACTTTTTGATAAAGAAAATAATAACAGAATAAAAAGTATATCAGATTATACGAGTGACCTGAATTTGGTTTGATTCAATTATCTCAACGACTTTTTGCTGAAAACTTGCTAGTTTCTCATTTCTTTCACTTTGAGTATTTTGAGCAGCATTATTAACTCGCACTACATAGCCAAAGACACAGCCAAGTCCTAATAGCAATAACGACGATTTCCCCAAATAGCTCCATGTGAGTAGTATTAGAAAATAAAGTAGTAATGAAGTTTTAGATGCTGAAGATGAGTAGAGGTCAAGAGATTTAAACTCGGACATGTTGGGAGAAGCAACGAGAGTTGTTTTATCCAAAGACATTATTATTGCTATATATTAGAAGTGTTCGAAAAGTAATAGGTATGAGAAATCGTTATATTTTGAGCTATATACTCGGAATGAGTTTTTTCGACAATCAGATGTACAGAAACAGTAAATAAAAAAGCATCTATTTTTAGCTTCTCGATCAACTTAAAATTTTAATATGGGAAACACACAATCGAACGATTTGAACCAACCTTCTAAATCCCCTTCATTAAACACCGATGCCAATAATGATTCCACATTTTTGACGCCAGAAACAGCAAATTCTCTATCACAGACAGATCCCTCCAAACAAGTAGCCACAAGTCAACTAATTAATCAACCATTTGCAGGTTCACCCTTGCTTTCGCCTGAAGTGTATAAAAATGTTGAGCGAAACGAAGACATTTATTATGAGGGAAATAGTCAGGAAGGAAGTTTAGCCTCAAGTTTTAACGAGAGTGAGATTTTGGCTGGTGTTGGTGGCGATGGTCCCACCCAGTTGACTCTTGAACAACCTTCTTCCGTTTCCACGCCACCGTCCTCCTCGCCTTCGTCGGTTGAGCCGCCTTATATGAATACTAATAAGGAAATTTCTAATGAAATTACCACCGAAGAAGATTTGATTAAAGCATTAGATGAACAAGGTTTGGCTTTGCTTCATTAATAGGATATTATTATTTTTGAAAATTTTAACTATTGTTAATTTTATTCTTTGCATAAGAAATGAATCAAAGCAAAGCTATACCGACAATTATTACTTGGAGTCAAGGAGGAAATAATGTATTTGTTACCGGTAGCTTTAATAATTGGAATAAAAACATACGGCTATGCAAAAGGTATTTTAAATTACCATTAATTTATCTTATAACAGTCAAACTTATAATAATATTACAACGATTAAAACTCTTAATTATAGCTCAAATGATTTTACGACGGTAATATCTTTACCATCTGGAACACATAAGTTAAAATTCATTGTAGACGATGAATGGAAATGCTCAAATGATCTCGAAATAGCAACCGATCCAGATGGAAATCTGGTGAACTATGTAGAAGTCTCTGAAGACGAAGTCGCAAATGCAATAGATCAAGACACTCTAGAACCAACAAATGGTCCAGGTGACAAAAAATACGAGTCTTTCTTTCTCTTCTCTTATTATTATTTACCATTGTTTTTCGGCAGGTGTTTTGTGCACTACACCACCCGGCGAATACACGTCCGAAATTCCTGGATATTTGCTTGCATACGCGCACTCACTCAATATCGCGGAAAATAATATGATAAATCATTATCACAATCCTGCTTCCATGCTTCCACGTGCTCCTTTTCAGGCGCCGGAATGTATGGCTGAGAATCAACCGCCATCTTTACCACCACATCTTGAAAAAGTTCTACTCAACAGTTCGGCAGTGTCAAAAGAAGATAATAGCGTTTTACCGGTCCCAAATCATGTTGTGCTTAATCATTTGTATGCCTGCTCTATACGAGATGGAGTAATGGCTGTGGCTAGCACTGCAAGATATCGAAAGAAGGTGCCTTTTATATTATATAATATATATCATTACTGCTTATTAAAAAACTCAAATGGCGATTTAATTGTATAGTACGTGACGACAATTTTCTATAAACCTATCTTCATCTGAAAGAAATGACAATTTTTTCACACACGTTATATGATAAATTTGATGATAAAATCGTGCATCGGGCACCGGACAATTAATTTACATTAGCCAATCACATGAATTTCTTCCTATGACACAATTCCCCAGTGTAACCAACAAAAAATTCGAAACGTGACTTAATGTGGCTTGTGTATCACAAACACATGATATATGTGGCTTATGATTACAAGCACATGACTTGTTAGTGTGTTACAACTCCAAGCTCGGAATCATGTTACTTTCTATAGATTGATTAAAATATGATATTTACATTATTTAATATAACAATATATAAATAATAAACTAGAAATTTTATCAATGATTTAATATTCATAATAATGAAAATGATTTTTAGGTTATCAATAAAGTCAAAAATTAAATTGCTTTCAACTATTCAATTAAACTAAAGTTGTAAAGTTTAAGAATTCAATTCAAGATTTTTGAATTAAAAAAAACATCATATAGATTAATATTGTAATTAAAAGAATTAAAAACAGTCAAATCCTTCTATAGTCACCACCCTCGGGAAAGCAAAATTTGGTGACTATAGAGAGAATATGACTATAGAGGAATTTTTTTATTATGTTTATATATAAATGGAAAAGCAAAATAGGGTGACTATAGAGGGGTGTAACTATAAACAGATGTGACTATAGAGAAGTTTGACTGTATTCAAATTAAATTAACTTATCAAGATCTAAATTATCCTTTTTTGTAGTTTAATACTCAATGAACCTACCCAAATTTAGAATACAAATCAGAGAATTCAATCATAATTGAAAATATAGAGTTATACATTGTTACAAGTCAGGCTCTGATAGATATTTTCATGATATGGATATTTAACCAACATTTATTGTTGAATCTGATTGAATTCCATTTTTACTTAAGAAAGTTAAGTGTTAATTTTCCAAAGTAACATTTTTTTGAATGTAATTTTCTCTGATTTTGTCAAATATTTTTATTATATGAACTAGATATTTTTCTAAAATATTGGAAAATATATTAGTATTATCCAAGTATATTATTACAAATTTATTAATATACTACTTGAAGATTTTATTTATTAATCTTTAAAATATTGCTGGTAGGATTCCAAAAAAAAGTTTGGTTCAGTTCGAGTTTGGTTCAGTTTGAGCTTGAACCAGACTCAAACCTGACGAAAAGTCCGGTTCAAAAATTCGAATCTAATTAAAAGTCTGGTTCGAGTTCAGTTCAAATTTTGAATCAGACTCAAATCTGACAAAATGTTTGGTTCGAGTTCAAGTAAATGTTTGTTGATGTTCTAAGTAAAGTTGTAGACTGTAACATGAGCTACAAATTGATATAAGATAATTAATATTTAGGATGAATATTTAAGAAGTTATATAAATTTAAAAAATAATTTCAATTATTATGATTTTAATTTACTTTAGTTTTAATATAATAAATATTTATTTGCTATAGTAATTATAAACTACGATTATAAGTAAAGTTGTAGTCAGAAATAAGAGCTACAAATTGGTATAAGATAGTTATCATTAATAATAATTATTCGGAGAGTTACATAGCATTTACGATCAAATTTAATAAATGTAAAAATAAAAACACTTTAGTTATCACTATGTAAACTTGTAATTCTTACTAAATACCATAAATTATGCTTATAAGTAAAGTTGTAGCTTATATTTAGAGCTACAAATCAGTATATGATACTATATGCCGATCTTTAATCAAACTCGAACCAGACTCGAACTCGTATAACAGTTTGATTCGAATTCAATTCGAACTTCGAATCTTTCTTGAACTCAAGTCAAAGTCTGGTTCGAGTTCGGTTCGATTCAGTTTATAGGAACACTAGAATACTGTACTTGACGATCATGGTTAAGTGTTAGAACATAAGATGTGGCATCAAATAGTTTTTTTTTTATTTCTTCACTTGCGAACTTGCTTGGGTTCAATACCAAATTTTTTAGCTGTTCCACGCACATTGTTGACACATTTCAAATAATGAATAATCATGAATTTTTCACGGACATACCAAGTGCAACGAGTTTTTTTCGTAGAATGAGACCATTTTGGAGTGGTTCTTTTATATGAGGATATTTTTTGAAAATTTGAAGTCGAAAAATAAAATTTTTACGTATCAATCAAAGTGAAAAATTGAAAAATCGCATCAATCATTAATTCATGTGCGTGCAATAAAAAATGTGTTTGATTGAAGTACAAATATGCAGATCACATCTACATTTGCAACGGTCCCCAGAAAAAATAAATTTCTTTGGGAGTACAACTCACGGAATATATTCCCCATCAATACAAAGTATCCCCTTACTTGGGTACCTGGGGTACTAAAATAAATATTGGAAATATCCAGATACATTGATCAGCAGTTTACGGTAGTTAACCAAATTTAATAATTTTAATATTATTAGATGCGCCTTAACTAAACCTTTCTAATGGTACCAAATTCATTTAATTTGGTTCATTAAATATGAAGAAATTTGCAAAAATCAATTTTCTTCGCAGAATAGTAAAGAAATTTATATAATTTTGAATGATTTTGTACAGTGTTTTTAAGATGTAATATTTTCGCATCTAGTGAATCAAATTCAATGATTTTGATATCATTAGATGCGTCTTGACTAGACCTTTCTAATGATATCAAATTCATTCAATTTGATCCACTGCATGCAAAGATATTTGATTTTCTTTAAACTGAATTTTTTTTCTTCACCTTTTGTCGCCAGATTTGAAGTTTATCGCAATTCTGCTAGTACTTAACAAACTCATTAAAATATGATTAAAATTATTACTTTTGCTTTTAATTTTTTGATTTAACTTGATTTGTTTGATGAAAAAATACATTGTTCTTGATTTGTTTGATTTAATTGATGAAAAATACATTGTTCTATACTTTTTATTAATACAGATATATTCACAATAAATTCTAACTGTATCTATTATATGTAAAATAAAAATTTAGTCCTTCCTAAGTTAGATATATACAAATAATGTAAAATAAAAATTATTAGTTTATTAATATAATATCTTCGAAGTGCCATATTATAAATTACGTGCTTACCTCCTTTTGACGTGTCACTAATTTTTAAACATGTTCTTTTAGACACGATCTTGCACAATTTTCTCTGTTAATATATATTCAAGTCTGCTCTACATCTAAGGTTGCTTGCCAAAATCCCTTAGCGACTGTCTAAATTTTGTCGAAATTATAATAAACTATTAGTAAATAACCCGTCGAAATTCTGACGAATTTTGAAATCCATCGTAACCGAAATTATGTCGAAATTCTAATTAACAATTAGTGTGTAACCCGTCGAAATTATGACGATATTTTTCTGAAAGAATTTAGGCAAGCATCCTTATCTACATCTAATATTTGCATATCAGAAAAAATGAGTGAAAACAAATCTCAAAGTGAAAAAAGATGCAGTAGCTGTTATACATTAAAGAAGATTACTGACTTTGTCACCCTTTCGCTAATATTCCAGAATACGAACATGCCACTTGTAACCAATACTCTGCAAAATTGAAAAACAAATGCCAAGAAAAAAATATTCATACATTATCAAAGAAGAAAGCAAAATTAGAAATAAGCAACAATATAAATCAAGACAACATCATCTTATCTCACAACAATAATATCTCCAATGATATTGAACAGCTCTATGTAAGTGGCAGTACTGAAAATATCCTGAATGTAATACTAGACGAAAATACCAATAGCAATCAGCAGAACGATAACTCTAAGATGCTCCTATACAATTTAGATGAAGTATCTGAAATTGTTAGTGAGTGTTTTAAAGCAGAAACATTTAACGAACTTGTAAAATTTGCTTTCAAGATTGAATTGGATCAAGATCTTCTTGCTGCAGTTTCTCTGGATTAATGAAACTTGATGTCAAACACACTTAATTTAAAAATAATTAAAAAGAGATTTTATCAACTTGCCAATACACTCATTATACCGCTCGAATCAAGTTCTGGTTATTATTGGAAGATACGCAAAATATATCTAAATAGCAAAAAGAAAACATTCTCAAATTCCGCTATAGTGTATTTCAGCTGTACAATATAAAATGATTGGATCTGGAAAAGATCAAACAATCAATCACCAAGAAGATAAAGTGAAACTTGTGCTTCTATTGAAAAATACATCTGCATAGGAAATATCAAACTCACAATAATTCTGGAAAAACAATATATTTTTGATCAAAGTGATCACCAATAGAGATGGTGCAGCAAGTACGTGACACTTATTTGTCACCTATTGCAATACTTTGCAACTTCAAAATTTTATAAGCCGCAACTAGTTGCAACTAGGTGATGCTTTATTTGTCACCACGTTGCAACAATTGTCACGTCATCTTTAATCACCAAATAAAACACAATAAGTCAACATATTGGTGAGTTAAATTTCCTATAAAGACAAGAGAATGGATTCAAAACAACATTGAACTCAATATGTGAAGCACAGAAATCTATTACCAGCTTTGCAAGGATAAACTTCTTAATCCAAAGATTCACACAATAGAACAGTTATATTATTAGATATCAGTATGTAGCAAAACAACTTATATAATGAATCAAGTGAACCAGCTTTTATCAGCAAAGCTGTATCTTGAAAGGTTTGAACTTACAGAAAGAGAGTTTATAGTTCTTAATTATTTGAAGAATGACTTTGTGTGAGCCTTGGAATTTCTGACGCCATTAATCAAACATATTGATATCAAGAATATAACTGAAATTATCATAGACTCTACGTTTAAGACAAATCAGAAGAAATTTGAACTCTTTACAGTAAATGTGAATTGTGATAAGTACGGTATGTCAATAGCATATCTATATCTTACCACATCTAGTAGTACTGATAAAGCTCAGCATAATTCAAGAAATAATGTAAAAACACGAGTTGAGATGCTACGAATATTCTTCATCAATCTTTGACAGGAGGGATTATATCCAGTATTTGTCTTGTCAGATAAAGATGCAAGACAAATATTAGCAATTAGTGAGACTTGGTCATGAATAACCAATATCCAACTTTGTTATTGATATTTTGAGTACGCAATTGATAAATGACTCAAAGACAAAAAGTCCAAAACAAATACATACTCGACAGCTAAGACATTGGAAGTCCATCGTAAATTAACTTTATAGATCCATCGTGAATTCAAGATAACACTAGATCCTATCATTCAGATAATTTTAATAAAGAACTTTTAGAAATAATTAAAAAACATTCAAATATGTATCTGTTCATACCAGTGATCAAAGATTATTTCCTGACTTCAGAAGAGATCTATCATCTTTGTGTTCAAGAGATGTATTAGTTTTGCCATTCACATAATCTTTTAAGATTATGGGATTACCTGTGATCAAATTGAAACAATGAAAAGGACTGAAAGCTGTTTGCTCAATCTTTATACTCACTAACCATGCCTTTTATATATATCACTATGATCACAGAAAGTCACTGGCGAGTTTTAAAGTATAATTATAAATATAATTATAACCGCTCACGAATGGATTGACTTACACAAACTATAACGGAGCAACTTGTGTCTGACTATGAAATCAAACTGGTTCAATATAATGGAAATTGCATTTTTCCATCATGGTAATATGCATTCAAAAAAGATTGGTACAAGAATGTCACAATAAATATTCAACCTGACGTCGAAGAAAGATATCATGTTGATATTAATAACTGGATCTGTTCTTGTCCAGCATATTTACACAGTTGTTATCACCTTTGCAAACATCTCATCAACAAAAGAAATGGTAGACAATTTCTACCCACTTTTTTAAAGACAGCACAACAACATGATTATCCTTTGTTCATTTTTGGGAGTGACAAAGCATCAGTTATTGCTCCAACAAATAATCCCTGGACCAGACTTAGCACAATAGTAGTTGAAAATGATTTTATTGAAGAAGATAGCTCCAGCTCGAGCAACTTACAAAATACGTTAATAGAGACAAACCGTGATGTGATGGAGGAAAGACGAGCGAAACTTGCTCAATATAAAAAAAATTTGATGTCGCGTTGGCATTATATGAGCGGGAGATGGATAATGATGATTTTATTAGTAACTTTGATGCCTTGGCGATGCCATTTGTGAAGAAGATTGAATGGTGCAAAGAAGCATTACAAACTCACACTCAACAAGATACTTGAAAATCAAAGAATGGAAAGAATAGAAAGCTTGCCTTTTGGTTACGTTAATTTTTTTTATTTTATTGGAGACGTTTTATCATTTTCTTGTAAGACATTCGATATTTCTTAATTCTCTTTAAATTTAAATTTAAATATAAATATAAATACGACGACGACAAGGAGTAATTAAGTTTTGGTTATTATAAAAAGTTTAAAGTTTTTTGATTATAATAATTGCATCATAAGTGTAAACACCGGGCAGGGATCCGGATAGTCAGAGGGATCAGAATCACATGACCCGTAACTTTTTTTTCGCCATGGCTAGGGTATCCGCAGGGCACCAATATAGTCTTATGTGAAATCATCACGATCTTATGAGTTGGTCACGCCGACAAGGCACACAAAGGCATTGCCCGTGTCGAACCTAGCGAAAATGTCCGGACGTTACGACTCGCATCTTCAGTATTATCACTAGTGCCAGTCGAGGTTGTCGATAACTTTGACAAGGCATTGGCGTTGGTGTTGGCGTAAAATTCAGCGATTTCGTCGCTTAAGCCTTTGTTGACTTCCATCACAGTTTCATAATTTTCAATGTAGCTCAACGCTTCTTTTAGTACATCCTATAACATAAGTTTAAGTGTAATTAATATTTAATATTAATACTATCCATAAATAAATAAACTTTCAGAGTTACTAAGAAAGAAACGCACCTGCACCCTTTGATCATTATAGTTTCTTCAGTTATCTTCTACAAATCTAAGGCGAGATCTAGAAGCAGGGCACCAATATAGTCTTATGTGAAATCATCACGATCTTATGAGTTGGCCAGGCCAACAAGGCACACAAAGGCATTGCCCGTGTCGAACCTAGCGAAAATGTCCGGACGTTGCGACTCGCATCTTCAATATTATCACTAGTGTCGGTCGAGGTTGTCGATAACTTTGACGAGGCATTAGCATTGGCATAAAATTCAGCGATTTCGTCGCTTTTAAGCCTTTGTTGGCTTCCATCACAGTTTTATAACTTTCAATGTAGCTCAACGCTTCTTTTAGTACATCATATAACATAAGTTTAAGTGTAATTAATATTTAATATTAATACTATCAATAAATAAATAAACTTTCAGAGTTACTAAGAAAAAAAACGCACCTGCACCCTTTGATCATTGTAGTTTCTTCAGTTATCTTCTACAGATCTAGAAGCAGGGCACCAACATAGTTTTATATGAAATCATCCCGGTCTTATGAGTTGGCCACGCCGACAAGGCACACAAAGGCATTGCCCGTGTCGAACCTAGCGAAAATGTCCGGACGTTGCGACTCGCATCTTCAATATTATCACTAGTGCCGGTCGAGGTTGTCGATAACTTTGACAAGGCATTAGCATTGACATTGATATTGGCATTGGCATTGGTGTTGGTGTTGGCGTTGGCGTTGGCGCTGGCATTAACATTGGCACTGGCAGACATTGGCGTTGGCTTATTGTAGTTTTTCAGAGAAGCAAATCATATTGTTCCATTTAACTCTTCTCATGTTTGCCAAGAGCGTAAACATGTGCAAGTTAACGAGAAATGAAAATGATTACTGTTGGTAAGAAAAAGAAAATGATTACGGTTTAGAAAATGATTACGGTTTAGAAAAAGATTAATTTGGCGCGAGGTTATCATTATATATCATGATTTTTTTTGCTGTGTAGTCATCATTATATAGTCATCGTTATATATAATGATTTTTTTGCTATGTAGTCATCATTATAATGATTTTTTTGCGATTTGCCTAACACTTTTAGAACCAAACCCGTTGCAACCTGGATCTTTTACCGTGCTATTTCTCAAACATAGAAACTATTCCTCAAGCACCGCGTCATAAAACTTCTTTACAAATGTTTACTCAACGTCAAAGACTAATGTACAAGTCTAAAAATAGCCACACGACAATCAAATTCCTTGCTACGAAAATCTATCAGCTGATCCAAAACAAAATTATAGCTGATCGAGAGAACCATGTGATGGAGAGGATATAAGGCCGCATTAATTAGGTAAATTTCTGAAAATATAATTTCACATATCGATTTATGGAAAGCACCATGAGAAAATTTAAGATTCTGAATCTAATGATTTTATGGAAGTAGGAAATGATAATGTAGTCAGGGATATTTCCAAATATGGTAATCATATTTAAGTGTGAATAATGATTCGGATACCAATGATTATTTAAAACAGATACATATCGATATGGATTTTAAGAACTTAAGGATTGACACGGGCCAATCAAATTTCATAATTTTGTTTGTCGATCATTTTTTATTATTCCTGACATCAAAGTTCGAGATATCGAAAATAAAGATTGTATTAATTAGTTGTAATGAAATTAGCTAGTAACTTGGATGAGATTTAGCTAGCACGAAATTTGCGTGATTAAGTCAATAACAACATTCCTGCAGCATTAAATAATAGGTCAGCTCAAGCAGAAGGAGCACGAATTTCACCTGAAACAAATGGTAATTACAACGCGAGTCAACTTAAAAATAGGTCTATTAATTGACATGTTAATGAATGAGAGATAACGCGAATCAAATGACTCTGGAACTAATGAATCATGATACTTGTCGCTTCAAGTGATCAATCAAAATTTCAATAATGGCACATCGCAACAAATCAATAATCAAGCTAATAATAGTCTTGAACCATTAATTGATGCGTTATAATCAACGCGATAATTCGATAAATAATGGCTTATGGTGAATGGACGAGTTCCAGATAATGCCCTTGAAAGGCCAATACTTTTTGTCAGGCTCTTCAACATCGTTATTTACTCTAGCCCATCATATGTATATCAACCAGCTCCATCACAGGAAGGTCCACAACAAATCATTGATGTTTCTAATGATAACGAAAAACGTAAAACTCGGATTTTAATTATTGTATCTAATAGTAGATACCTAATTAGATTTTCGATATGGTATATATCTATATTATTATTATTATTATTATTATTATTCATATTCATCATTCATAAATAAAAATAATCTTCATATATGCAGAAAATTTATATCAGACATAAATTCAAAATTCATGGTTATTCGATGATGATTATTATTGACGGGTTGATAATGATGAGTTTTTTACAGGATGAATAACAATTTTCTTCCCGAAAAAATAGTAATTAGTAATTATGCTACTAAAGAGAAGGACGAGAAAGATTATGCAAATAGTAATTATTAAACAATGCTACTAAAGAGAAGGGACTAAAAAAGATAACAATATTTATAATAATTATTGCTATATACTTTTGTCATTATCAACAATATAAGAGGTAATCTCCCATACCCCACGACAAAAAAGAATAGGTTTATTATTAATGATAGGAAAAGGATAGGTAGTTGTTGGATGAACGGTAATAAATGGTAAGGATTATTAATAATAAGAGAAATAATAAAGAATCATTGAATAAGTTAATGATGTTCAAGCAGATTGATTGATTGATGAGAATACACACAAAATGGTTGCTGTGAATGTTCTTTCTTTGGAGTAAATATCATTTCATTACACACACATATATATAATAAATCATACAAAAATATATATATGCATGCAATGCCAAAAAACACTATATGACCTTTAAAACAAAATAAAAAAAACCAAGTTTCATCACAATACACACACATATATTCATTAAAGCACACGCGCGAGAATAAACGCGACCCGTCGCGGAATCGCTATATGTAATACACGCGCTGCATGTTAGATCTCCGAGTATGATGGCGGTGGAGATGATGACGATGCTAATGTCGATATGCCCTCTGACATTTGTTTGATATCAACTGCTCTTCCTGGTAATGATGACGAAGGTGTTGATGTTATTGATGATGTGGGTTGTCGTCGTCGTCGTCGTGATTCACTGTTTCGATACAGATAGAATTGAACAAAGATCTATTATTTTAAAAGTTTGGTTAGCATTAGTTTTGGAAACCGGGATAAAAGGATGATATAACGGATCAAAAGGAAAATGTACCATGAAATCGAACAATAAAGTTCCCCCGCTACCAATTAACCATGGAAGATTACGTAATATGAATTTGCGATCTACTGAGTGAAATAGTATCGACTGTAAGGTAAGGTAAGGTAATAAGATTGATGTGTTAAATATTAGTCACACATGTTTATTGGAAGATGATTGTTTGAATTTTAACAACTTACCGAGCAATACGTGAAATTCCCTAAAACACTAAAAAAGAACATTGAAAGGGATAAACCCTCGCAAGATTGGTTTTCATAGTTCATTACAAGCTGAGGAATGCGTGAACCAACTGATTGTTAACGAAATGATAAATTAATAGTTAGTAATGAAATTATACATAAATGAAAGAATAATTAACGAAAGGAATAAAAACTTACGGTAAAGAACTGCACTACCCCAACCAAGAGTCTGCCCCAACAAAATCATAGCCGGAGAAGGAGACACTTTTGGTGATTGAAGAATTGAAAATCTAGAAATAACCGAGTCATTTCCAATGACATTCTCATCCTCCTCAATAGCCGAATAATGATAATACGAGACCAGACCCGTGACCACAATACAAAGTATCGAAGCTAGTAATTCAAATGTTGTGTTATGATTATGACAATTATTATCGTCATGATAGTAAATTTCGTTTTCGGCGGTGATATTATTGGTGTTTGTCACGTTGTACGATGATTCACGTCCGATTATTGATGCGGGTCGATGATTATGTTGTGGGACTAGTGGTGTTTCTTCGGTTGCATAAATTTGTTCTTCATCTTCTTTTGAGGGTCGTCGTCCGTATCGGCGATAATAATATACTTGGCACAGCAAGATGAGGTCAGTGATGTTATAATAAAAAGCGAGGACGATCTATATTTTTTTTGGTTAAAAAAAAAGTTGTTAGACAAATATAGGGGGAATTTGCCCGAATAGTGATCATTCAAATTTGGTGTAACAGAATTTGGTTGTAGATCTTTTTTCATCTCCCATGAAAAGTCGTGGGAATAAATCATTTGACATATGTTTTGAAGCACAAAATGCACGCACGCACGCACGCACGCATGCATGCAATGTGCGTGTCATCATAAGAGAGAAGGAAATAATCTATTTTTTACTATTTTTACTATTTTTACTATTGTTATTTGAGTAGAACGAATCTTACCATAGTAAGCAATAAATCCTGCAAGACAGCGCCGGCAAAGTTTAACGCGTCCCCAGCAAACCAAATTAGAAGAAACGTTGTTGATAATGATTCGCTGGACTTTAGTTTGTAGTTTGTGTAGAGTTGTCTAATTTTTGGATTTTTTGGGTATATGATTTTTATGTAAATTGTCAATACGTGATTCTTAAGACATTGTAAAGAAGAAAAGGGAGATTGTTCTATTGAAATCTGTAAAAGCTATATATTCAAAGTGAGGCGGAAGGTGCAACAAAGTAGAAACGGAAGGAGGACAAGTTGAAATAGTGACTGTCACCAGCATTTGAATAAACAAAGGTATATTTTCTACACTTACGGGATTAGAACCACAATCCAACAAGCAATGGAGACCGAGCCAGACACATAAGAAGCGACATCATTTCGATATAATGAAGCTGTTGTTGATGATAGAGAAGACGACGTTATATTCATGTTTGTGTTTTCCTTCTCTCAGATTAGAATGGACAGGCTAATACTGAATAATGATATAGTGAAATAATAATAATAATAATAATGATAGTAAACAGCGGAACAATGATATGAGCGTGTGTATTTGTGCGTGCGTGTGTGTTTTATGAAGAAAAAGTTTTTTTTAAACAACCATGGCTTGTAAAATCAATCACAAAGAAAATCGAGAAGCGGGGTAATATTTATGGATTTATGATGAATATAAGGGAGACGAAGGTACAGCACATTAATCAATTCAAATTTTATATGGTAAATTTATTTATATTACATATTGTATTTGGCTTATACACTCCTTTCTCCTTCGTTGTTCGTTGTTACGTACTACTTGTACATACGAGTATGTTTGTTGTTATTTTTTTTTAGCTTATTATATACTATGTATATTATAGTGAATGCAAATATGGTGGTCAGCAGTGCAAAAACACTAATATGTATATTTGATCTGTGTGATAAAAAAGTAATAGCGATAGAAGTATCTACGTATCAGCCAAATCTATTAAAAAATATACACCGAACACATTTTCTTTCTCTCGATCAATATCGATAAAACATTAATGAAATTGATTTTAACATTCGCATACAACATGATGCTGATTAGCATCCATTCTACCCTTGCCAATTTTTTCATGATAAATTGATGATTCCAAATTGCGCTATTAATAAATTAATGAATGATAATAGCATGAAATTAAGGCAACCAAACCGTGGAAGTCAATTTTCATTCCACACCTTCAACAATATTGGTCCATTTAAACATTTGCACCAAGGTAATAAATCAGGAATTATGATTTCTTTAACGGAATTTTTCGGAAACAATGTCATGTAGTACATGTATGGACTAAAACATCGAGATTATATATATAGTGTGCATCCCCTTATTTTTTTTGGTCGCGTGTCGATGACGATTGTGTATAAGGGGAAGGTAAAGAAGAAAAAATTATACAAACAATAGAAACTCAAAGAATTTAACGCGCGATTTTGGTTGGTTGGTTTGTTGGTTGGGAAGGAATGTGTAAATACACGTCAAGTTGAAATTAAACATGATACCACACGAGTGAAAAATAAACCGGTAAAATGCCAGATTTCAAACAAAGTTGTATTAGTATCGCTGTAGGTTTTTTTTCTTTTCCTATTTTTTCCGAGACTTTTAGAAAAAAAAGGAATGTGATTAAATGTCGGCAATGTGTTTGGTACTCTGCAATTGCTATTATCCGACAGCGTGTTTTTTTACAAAAAGCGAAAAATGAACATTGTGACGTTTCTTATTTGTTAGGCACAGCATTTACATTGTCACCATTTTCGCTATTGAAAATAAACATTTTTTACTTCAATGTCTATTTACGTATAGTAAACACATGTAGTTTTGCCGATCCCGACACAGCAACCAATAAACCAATAAAAATGCGAAAATTTCTGATCAGCCCGGAAAAACAATTCCGACACAATAAGCAAAAAATACAGGAGGTAGACGCCTAAATCTAGCTTAAAATCAGCCTTTAACATTACAGTAGAATTTTCCGGGATCGACAAAACCTTAGGACGTTCTTGTGTAAGTTATGGTATATTAGATGCATGCATGTGTGCAACCTGTATTATTTGCTGTTGTTTTCTTGATTTATTCTTGTGTGTACAAACCTGTGACCTAACGAAAAGTCTAAAAAAGTCAGAAAAGAAAAAAAAATTTTTTTAAAGCTGAGATTGATTCGTGTTTTGTGTCAGTGTTAGGTTTGAAATAAGTGAAAGTTAAGTAAACGACAAGAAAAGAATACCTCGTTGAAAGTGATTTGATTTTCATGTAATTATTGAAATCACGAGTTGTCGTACACATAAACAAACAAATACTTGCATGCATTGACGGTTACAGATATTAACTTTTTTTCCTATTGCATGTGCAATTTTTTTTAATAAATCTTGTGTTTGTTGGTTTTTTTTGTACAGGTGATTGAAGTGAGATGTTGGATCCCATTCTTGCTTCTAACTTGACAATCCCGTCTCGTCCAATTCGATTAATTCCGTTCTTTCTTCCCGCTTGAAGGAAATCCCATGACTTTTTCTTTATCCTAATCTCGACCAGAGATGCAAACATTAGAACATGAAATAACTTAAATCATAGACGTAACTAGGTAACTACCCAGATATTAATATGACATTAAGGGTAGCTACCCTTGACCTGTGACAAGTTCTCGTTGAAACATAAAAACAACGTTTCATAACATTCATTCTCCTATCTATGTATCTATGTATATTGTCGATTGTTAGTGGATATTTCCATTGTATCTGTCTATGTATGTACATGCATGCATTTTCGAATTGAGGTAACGTTCTGATGATAAAATTGCTTTGCAATTAATTCTTATAAATAAAACGATACCATAGCCCGATGATTACCCTGAATGAATTGTTTCCAAATATTGCATAGTTTATTATTGACGATTTTATAATCTAACGCGTAATTATAATCTGTGTTCGGTTCGCGATCACATGATAACAAACCAATAAGAATGCGCAAATCGTGCCGGCAACTATCAGGTTGATTTTATCGTTTGGATTAGGATAAGAGTTAGAATGAACAAATTTATATGTAAAATTGCCTCACCAACATTTTTATTAGAGCTCCAAGTTAGATTTAGACATCTGTTTCCCGTAATTTTTCACATTTTTCATTTTTTGTGTCGGATTTGTTTTGCCGGGCTGATTAAAAATTTGCATAAATTATAATTACGCTATTTTAACTATTAACAATATTTAATTAAACTATTTTTTTGTATGCTTTAATATTTTCGATCACGTGTATAATATCACATGATTAAGATATATATGTAGATTAGAGCTAATAATATAATATATAACATGATATAGCAACAATTTTTTTGCTTTAAAATCATATAACATGTGATTTGAACATGTAATTTCTATCTGTGACTTGTACATGTGATTTTATATATGATTTATTATTTATTATTATTATAATTTATATATAGTTATATCTCATTATAATCATGTGATCAGGAACTGAAAACTAGATAACTATAAAAAGAGGTGATTATATAAATTTTTCTTTATATAGTTATCAATAAGTTAATATCAAAATTATATGACTATATCGAGATAATTATTGTTATATCATTATTATATTAGTTTGTATTATTATTATATTTTTAAATATAAAAACTGGTAGTATAATGAACTAAGAGAAAAAATTATAAACAAAAACCAGTAATAAAAATTGCAAAAATACAAAAAGAAGTTATAAAAAAAATAATTTGGAAAGGGAAAAATATAGAAAAAACAGAGAAAAAAGCAGTAAATAAAGCCAATAAATTTAGCTCAATCAATTAATTGAGCCAAAAAAAATTAATAATTAATTAATCTATCTAAAATTAATTTTTAATTTAAAAATTGATTCTCAATTCAAAATCAATTCTCAAGTTTTACTAAACAGTTAATTTCAATTTCATTTATATATAATTAAGTTTTTCACATCTGAAAATAAATATTCAGGTGAAACTAATATGACAAGAATTGTAAAAGAATTGGATATCACAATAGGAATAAGAATTAATTTTTAATCAAAAATCAATTCTTAAACACAAAGTATAATGATTATAATGATAACAATAGCAATAATAATGATGATAATAACAATAATAATAATAACAGTAATATTATAACTAAACTTTGATTTTATTTTTTATTATATGTTAATTTTTCATTGGAGTAGTTGAAGTTGTACTTTGATTGATTGATTAGTTAAATTCGTAAATACTATGTGATATAAAAGCAATTAAAGTATTATTATTAAATTGAGATTTTGATCAATATCACTATCAGAGTTATTAAACTTTATATTGACAATGATTTCTTGATTACAGTCAAATCTTTCTATAGTTATCATTCTCAGGAAAGCAAATTTGATGATTATAAAGAGAATATGATTATAAAGAGATTTGATTATATTATTATTTTTTGTTGAATGACAAAATATATAGCACTATATTATTTATATGTTTTTCATATGAAATTATGATTTTCAATTATATATATTTACGTATATGATTGATTATGTATTATCATTATTAATTTTATCTTTAAAATTAATTCTCAAATTTTAATTGGTTATTAAATTTTAATTGATTCTTTAATTTTAATTGATTTTCAAATATTAATTAATTTTAAGAATCAATTTTCTCAATTTTACAAAATTAATTGATAAATAAAAAAATATGACTATATCAAAAATGTGGCTATATTAAGAATAACTATAATAAGATATAACTATAATTGAGAAAATATATTTGTAATTGCTGGTAATAGTTTTTGATCATGTGTTATATGATTATTATTTTCAATTTGATTGATCAATTATCAAAAAAAAGAATATAATAAATATTTATCACAATGCTAAAGATTGATTTTAGTATTAGAGTTAGAATTAGGATTAGAATTAATGTAGAGATTAAGATTATATATAAAATTATCTCCTTAATATTTTTAATTAGTGCTTCAAGATAGATTAAAATATATATTTTTCATATTTTTATTTTTTATGTTTTTGCTTTGAATTTATTTTTTCAGATTGATCAAAAAATTTATACATTCTTATTTGTTCTCAGATAAATTATTGAATCAATTACACTTTAGTACATAATAACATATTATCATTATTTTACTTGAATTTTTAAAATATTATATCTTTTTATATGCTCAATATATATTTCAAGTCAGGTGAGAGAAATAAGATAAATAACTAAAAATGATAATTAGAGATGGCGCAGCAAGTACATGACACTTATTTGTCACCTGTTGTAATATGTTGCAACTCCAAAATTTTATAAGCTGCAACTAATTGCAATTAGGTGATGCTTTATTTGTCATCATATTATAATAATTACTATATTATCTTTAGTAATGATATGTATTCATTAAATATTAATTAGTTAGAAAGTAATTTAAAAAATTTTCTT